GGGGCCCCGGGGCCGTCCCGACCCACCTGCTGCTCCCTCCGGCCTGCTCCCCACTGTCTCGGGCATCCTCTGGCCGCACCCTCCCGCGTGCGTGGGTGAGGGCATCGCGGAACGAGCCCCACAAACAGGCCCCCGCCGGTGCGCCTGGGGGGCGGCGCCGAGCCCCGAGGAGGCTGCATCTGCCCTGTGCGGGAGCAGCGGCGCGCTGACTTCCAGGCTCCGCTGGGACGAGCAGGGAGACGCTGAGCACGCGGCTGGGCAAAGCGACGGCCGAGAAGCCGGGCAGCCGCCTGGGGCCCAGAGCGCGGGCGGCGAGGGTCTCCGCCGCCTCGGGACTCCCTGTCCCTCGGCGGTCGCCACACAGCAGCGGCAGCACGCCCCGACTGCAGGAGGGGCCCCCCCGCCGCCACGCCTCGTGGGCGCTCAGGAGACTCCGCTCTGCTCCCTGGATTGCGCCAGCCCAGGTGCCGACGGCGAGCGTCCAGGCCCCCGGGGCTCTCGTCCTCCTGTGGCGACGGTTGTCGGCAGCGTGTCCTGGCCACCGGGGTCCCCAGGTGAAAGAGTAAAGCTGGATCAGCTGCTCTGCACACAAAACCAGCACTCGAGTCTTCTCCACTGAGCATACGGGGGCACTGCCGGCGCCTGAGCAGCTTATGCGGGGGCCTGAGGGCGAGGCCGCAGCCGCGGCCCGGCCACTCGTTGCTTTGACAAGCTGAGGTTTTCCTGGAAGGGAGCCCTCGGCACAAGGGCAGCCGCCGCAGTCACATGGACACGCGGAGGAGCTGCGAGCCCCAGGCAGCCGCCTGCCGGGACGCCGCAGGGCAGGGGCTGAGGGGCCCGACACCGCGCGGTGGCTCCGCGGAAGGGCGCCCATGCCAGGGGAGCAGAGCTGTGGGGTTCCGGGCTGTTCCCGAGCACTCCCTGGACTCGGGGCCGTGGGGTGCACAGGGGCAGCCACTGTTCTTGCCGAGATGCCCGGGGCCTGGCGCGGGGCCAAGTGCGGGAACAGCAGGGCAGGAGTCCATGCTGACAAGCTCCCCCAGGGGCCTCCTGGTCCACCCGACACCCCACCCCACCCCACACCCCCGGATCCTGGGCCGCTGGGCTGGGCCGGCCTTCCCCGGGTACGGGGGTGGGGCTGTGCCTCAGGGCTCTGGGACACGCACGGGAAGCAGCAGCCTTCCCTGGTCCCGGGGTGCAGAGACGGAGGCCCCCCAGGGCAGGCAGGCTCCCAGGGGTGGAGGAGGTGGTGCTGCTTAGTCTGGGTCTTGTCGTGACGGTCACCACCAGTCACCAGGAGCCTGGGCAGCGCCGACTGCAGGGATGGTCACAGAGACAGGATCGAGACTCAAGGGAAAACAGCTCTCAGCTGTCAGGTGACACCGGCGAGCGCTCGGTGGCTGCCAGCCAGGGCCGCGCCTTCCAGGGCTGGAGGGAGGGCGAGGGGCCCTGAGGCCGTCCGCCCTCTCCCCCAGGTTGGCAGCTGTCCCTCTCAACTTCTGCTTCTTTTGGCAGCTCCTTTCTCAAGAGGCTGCACCGGCTTATATTGCGGCTCAGGGTGCCCCGCCCACAGCCTGATTGGACTGTTTTTTTAGTCCTGCGGCTGATTGGGCCATTTAGCACCAATCAGCTCGGAGCATGCACCTGATTGGTCCAGTCTACAATCCAGGAAGCACATATAACAGGCCGGGGTGCTGGCTGCAGGTGGAGCACTCTGGGAGGGGCACACCCATGCCAGGCTCCTGACTGACCCAGGTCACGGAGGAGGTTGGCCTTGGACCCAGCCAGGGCGCCAGGGGCCAAGCCCAGAGGGGCCTTGGAATCCTGCGCCTAACTGGTGGCTCCCAGCTCCCGGAGTTCTCGGGCGCTGCTGCACCTCGAAACCCAGCTGGCAGAGGTGGGGCAGCTCGGGGGTGGGGCAGGGAGGGGCCGGCGCTCAGCCTGCTGTGGGCTGGGCACAGGAGCCTCTGGCCTGTGACCTGCTCCCTCTGTGCTGAAGAGGCCAGGCCTCCAGCCCGGCTGCCGCTGCCGGTCCTCAGCCTGGCCAGCCCGGCAGGACCCCAGAGCTGGTCGGGCCAGGGCCTGCGAGTGGGGCCGGGAGCCCCGCAGCTGGCGCAGAGATTGTGCACCCTCGCCTACCTGACTCCAGAGCTCAGTCTGGAGCTGAGCCGCACCCCAGGGGCGTGGAGGAGCCGGCAGGAAGCCCCAGAGGCCGTGTCCAGGCCAGCTCTCCTGGCGGGGACACCCCTCTCTCGCTGTGTCTGGGGAGCTTCTGCCACCCAGAGCTGTGGTCCTGGAGCCCAGGCCAGGAGGGGGATCCAGCCCAGCAGCTCGGCAGCACCAGGGTGGTCAGGGCCAGAGGACAGAGCGTAGTGGGGTCCTTCAGGAGGCAGGACCATTGGGTGCAGCCTGAGGATGGCAGCAGCTCTGGGTCGGGGAGGCACCCCAGGAGCTCTGCAGAGACAGGTGGGGACCGGAGGGTCGGCTGGACTCGAAGGCTGCCCCTGAGTCCCCGGGTGAGGGGCCAATGTCAGGAGCACAGATTGCCAGAGTGGCCTCTGGACTGGCCGAGGTCACGGAGGAGGTTGGCCTTGGGGGTCTGGGGAACCCTCGGGACCTGGCGCCCTGTCTCGGGCCACGGGGCATCCCCAGCCCGGCTCAGAGTGTCCCGAGAGCCCGTGGACAGCGCCCTGGATGCACCTGGGTGTCCCGCCTCGGGGCCGGGCGGAGGGGCTCAGGCCACTGTCCGGCGGGTCTGCCTGGTTGTGCCTGGAGGCCCCATGGCACGCCCTAAGCCCTGTTTGCTGCGCAGAGCCCAGACTAGGGCCCCGCACCCCACCAGTGCCCCCGTGCCGGGTCTACAGTGTGTGCGCCTCAACTCCCAGGGCGGCCTGCGCAGGCCGGCCCTGCCCACCACACCCTCAGCCCACGCTGCACAGGGACAGCGACAAGGTGTCGGTGGGAAGCTCGGTGGGGGACGGCTCCCAGGGTGTCAGGGGAACCCAGGCCCCTGAAAGCAGTGGACCGGGCCGATGAGACCAAACCGAGGTGGGGGTGTGTCGGTGACGAGGGACGGGGGGACACACGCGGCCCCTCCCCACTGCCTGCAACACCAGCCAGAGACACAGGTTTATTGGGGAGACTGGGCCTGGACCCAGCGGTGCGTGGGGGCAGGGCTGCCTCTGAGACACACGGGGGGAGGGGCACCCCCCATGGTGGCTCCCCTCTATGGGTGGGGTGCAGTGAGCAGGAGGGGGTCCCACCGCTCCCAGGCTGCGTGTCCAGCGGCTCCGGCAGGTACCCAGCGGTCAGGCCTCTGTGTCCTGGGCTCCTGCCCAGCGGGGTGGCCACCAGGACTTGAGGAGCTGTGTCCTCCTCAGCCTCCCTGCTGAGGGCAGCCCGGCCTGCAGGGTGTGGGCCCCCGCAGCCCCCAAGGCGTCATGCGTGGTCATCTGCCGGTGCAGGGCACAGCCTGAGGCCGGCTGGGGAGGACCGTGGCCCCGCCCCATCAGCAGGGACCTCGGGGCCCCGGGCCCCCCCATGCCGCCACGGGGGGAGCAGTGTTACCTCAATAAGGAACATCTCCTTCTTCTTTATCACTGCAACAGACGCGGGCGCGGCCATGAGCCCCTCGGATGCCAGCGCAGGCGGCGGCGCCCGGTCACCCGC